GTTGCTGTGAGCTGTGATGCCACACAGCACTCTACCGAGGGCAACAGCCTAAGGCTCTGTCTCAAAAATAAATAAATAAATAAAAATAAAGCAATTGAAAGGTAATGCTCACTTGCTTACAGACTTATAATTTTAAGGGTCTAAACCTCTCTTAAAGTTACCATAAAGTAATTGTGATATTTATTGGTTTTCTTCCTAATGTTTTGAAAATGCAGTATAACAAGAACCTTGTACTGGCTGGGTGCCTGTGACTCAAGGGGCTAAGGTGCCAGCCACATACACCAGAGCTGGCAGGTTCAAATCCAGCCCAGGCCTGCCAAACAACAATGACAACTACAACCCAAAAATAGCCAGGCGTTGTGGTGGGCACCTATAGTCCCAGCTACCTGGGAGACTGAGGTAAGAGAATTGCTTAAGCCCAGGAGTTGTAGGTTGCTGTGAACTGTGGTGCCACAGCACTCTACCCAGGGCAACAGTGTGAGGTTCTGTCTCAAAAAAAAAAAATGAGAGAACCTAGTACAATTGAGTTTGGCGGACTTAGTAAATACATGTCTGAGTTTCTCTGAAGAAAGAGAATAGCAGTATGCACTTCCTCTTGGTCTCATATTCTACATGTTTATGTAGAACTTCAACCCAAACTACTTCCCCATAAAGACAGGAGCTTACCATACCTTGGCACCATATAAATCCGAGTTCTTCATTAAAAATTCTGCTGACGTTCGCACTGTGACTCCTGTGGTTTCACACTGCAGAACACAGTTTTCCAAAGTTGTCGTACCACGGTGAATGACTATGATGCAAACGTACAATTGACAGCTTTAAGTAGCATGCTTTTTCCAACATTAGAGACAGCCTAGGGCTGATCTTCGATACAGTCTAAATATTTCTCAATAGCTGCCATTAAAACGTTGTTATCTGAATTACAAATTTATAAAATATAGAACAACCAATTTTTGGACTTATTTTCTAAAATCTAGAAGCAACATTTTTTAAAAAGAAGGACTTGACCCCAGAAATATAAAAGAACTTTCATTATCAAAAATAAGTATCAGAGAAAAACTTTGAAGAGTATCTCAGAAGAAAAAGACCCCAATTCAGGAAAAGGGATAAAGACCTTAGGAAACAAATAACAGTGCGACACAAAGACAGCTAATTTCACTCTAAGCTGAATATAAAGAACACAGACCACAACATTAGAATGTTTTAAAAGGGGAAAAAATGATCACACAGAAAAGAAACCAACATTAAACTAACACATTTTTTTTTTTTTTTGAGACGGAGCCTCAAGCTATCCCCCTGGGTAGAGTGCTATGGCATCACACCCACAGCAACCTCCAACTCCTGGGCTCAAGCGAGTCTCCTGCCTCTGCCTCCCAAGTAGCTGGGATAGGCGCCTGCCACAACGCCCGGCCATTTTTTGGTTGCAGCCATCATTGTTGTTTGGCAGGCCCGGGCTGGGGATTCGAACCCGCCACCTTAGGTGTATGTGTCTGGCGCCTTAGCCACTTGAGCCACAGGCACCGAGCCAACTAACACATTTTTAAAGACAGGCAGAATGATTTTTCCCTCTGGGGTAATTTTCCTGAGTTATCTCCCTGTGCACATGAACAGGAGTTCACCAGGCTTCTGGGAGCAGGACAGCTCAGAGACACTGTAGGGCAGGTTCTCCACATCACAACACAGCAGGCAGCAGGCAGCAGGCAGCAGGCAGTAGGCACAGCTCAGAGACACTACAGGGCAGGTTCTCCACATAACACAGCAGGCAGCAGGCACAGCTTAGAGACAGTGAAGGGCAGGCTCTCCACACCACAACACAGTAGGCAGCAGGCACAGCTCGGAGACACTGCAGGGCAGGCTCTCCACACAACACAGCAGGCAGCAGGCACAGCTTAGAGACAGTGAAGGGCAGGCTCTCCACACCACAACACAGCAGACAGCAGGCAGCAGGCACAGCTCAGAGACAGTGAAGGGCAGGCTCTCCACACCACAACACAGTAGGCAGCAGGCACAGCTCGGAGACACTGCAGGGCAGGCTCTCCACACCAAAACACAGTAGGCAGCAGGCACAGCTCAGAGACACTGCAGGGCAGGCTCTCCACACCACAACACAGCAGACAGCA